ATCATCTAATCAATAACAATGAACCTTCAAGATTAATTCTTCTATACTAAAACGTAACAAATCAAATGCAAATACCCAAAATAAATAACATTAAGACTCTTAGAATAATTGTCATTCACACATTAGGCTTCATTTTAATGCAGAAAAGAATTATTTTCAGGATAAAATTAACTCATGAATAATTATAACGCACTAGTTAACGAAACAAACGTTAATGTAGTTGTCAAATAAAATTGAAGACAACTAATCATTGCATGTAACATTCAAAACACTTACTTTTAAAAATACTATAAACTTTACCAATTGTAATTTAAATAGTAATAGAAATTTGTACCAATTATTGTTTCATTCTTTGTTCTTTAAATTTTTTAAAAATTTCGCGTGGCATATTTTAACCACCCCCCTCCTCTCCTCGCCCCCCCCCCCCCCCTATAATCACCTCGCCTTAAAAATCTGATTTTTTGCTAATGAAAACTAAAGAGAAGAAAATGGAAAAATGCAATTTTGCGAGAATAGAAAAGCAAATATGGAAAGAGGGTAAAAAGCAGGCACAACTATGAAGTAAATGACTTTGAATTTCAATGCAAATTCCAGCATCTGCAAACGCATACGACTTTGTGACATATTTTGTCTGATGAAATTTATATTTCATAGTTTTGAAGAAGTGGGTGAAAAAAAAGCATTTATCTCATTCAGAATAAACTCGAAATTGCGTTAAAATGCATTCAAATGAGTTTACTGATTCATTTATAAGGACGTTAGTTGCCATTTCTTCCTAATAGCTAATAGATACAGCACTTTGGCGGCAGCATTATTGATTATTGATTAAAGTTGATGGTATTTCTGAACCATATTTTGACTTACCACCTGATGCATACCGACTTCAGTGCATAAAAAGTGAACATGAAGAATTGAAGATCGTGAATTTATCTTTTGTAAGAAAGCTAATTAAGAAATTGTACACAATGCTATTTGATATTCGTTCCCTTTAAATGAGAAACAGTTGACACACATTAATGTAAGCTTTCAATTTCTTTACAAACTCTCAGTGAATGTAATTCTTGAAATGGTGCAAAAATAGTTGGTATCTTGAGAATGGCAAACAATCAATGAGGCTTTTCATGCGTTGAAAAGTTTTTCATATGAGATAATGGACTTTTCATGTAAAGGTCATTTGATTGAAAGTAAAGCTATTAACAACTCTTTATTAAAAGAACATTGTCAGTGCAAAAAATATTTTTAAAAAATATTAATTCCACTAGATAACCAATTATGCAATAATTAAAATATTATTAAAAAGCGGGAAAATTATGAACATGGATAGAATAAGCGCTGATTGCTTGTCAGAGCAATATTTTGCCATTTCAACAAAATTAGCTTTGAATAGGTTCTTTAAATGATGATAAAATTTATCTTTTTTGTATCTAAGACTTATAAAATATTAAAAATAGGTAACTTTTTTGCACGGTTTGGCTCGTGTTTTAGAAAAAATGTGGTTTCAATGTTATCAGATGAGTCACATGGTGTATAGTAAATTACCGATAAATTGTTCAGAAGTGTTCTAAAGCTCTTTTAAATTAAAAATAACCAATCAATTTTGAATTGCTTTATATTAATATGGAGGAATCTATGTGAATACTTGGCGAGAAAATACTAAAAATGTAGCCCACCTCAAGAGCATTTCTAAACGCTACAACTTTGAAAAGCCATGCCATGCATATTTGGCATAATAAAGGAATACACGAATATATGTTTATATTTATTTATTCATTTAAAGCAATACAACCTATTTTTCCTATCGCAGGATCTTACCTATCTTTGTTTAAATGAACTTACAATAAGTGTTTTAAGCGTGTTTATCAAATTTTTTTTCATATCGGAGAAAATTAAATATGCAAAATTCACTAAAAAAAGTTTCGAAATCACAATTTTTTACCTTAATTCGGAATCAGATAAAATCAGTTAAAGTTCATAAATTTTTTCAAAACAATCTCCTTCTTTTACGCATACCTTCTCAAAGACTGCATTCGAATGCGTCAGAATGTCATGAATTTATAATGCCACACAAATACCCTTTTCAAGCATTACAAATAGATATTAAATATATATAAACCCATTTTAGTAGTATCTTAAGCGACCCCATAAATGTTATTCAAAATACACAAGAGGAAATAGGTTCTTGAGGTCTTCCTGGTTGCCTCAGCGTACATTCAAAATGGCTGATACTAGAATATTTCAGTCAGGAAGAAACCTTTTTTTGAGATTGCGCAACAAAGCAGCAGTGCGGAATTTTCAACCCACAGGGAGGGGGACGTGAGCATAACTACGTTTGATATTTACCTCTGCATTAATGTGTATTTCGTTAAGCAAATAAAAGCCTCACCCTAACCTCAATGCTCTGTAAGCAAAGTAGGGGGTGGCTGAAAAATACGGAAGTGGACTGTAGTGGAAGGTGAGTAAGTGAGAGTGAGATGTGACGAAGGAAGAGGAAATGGTGGGTAATTAGCCCGAGAGAGTGGAGCATAATGATGTGCAAAATTTTACCCATTAAACTACAATTTTGTCTTCCAATGAAAATCTTAAAATAAAGAGTAAGGATGCATGTGATGGAAGTAACAACATCCAATAATAAATCGATATCCCCCCCCCCACCTCCAGCCTAACCAATTGGCTATAATTTGTGCCCTAAATTCTCGAGTAACCTAAATTGGAGTCACTCCAAATTAATTAAATCGAATGGAGCTTGTTTAATGTTGTCCCCATTAGTATTTCCCACGTTAAGGCGAGCATAATTTCAAAGCCTTTGAATATGGGAGCAATATTGGAGTTCAATAAAAAGTGAAGGTAAGATTAAGTCGCAACTTCAAAGGACTTGCTTAATTTAAGCTTCTAGCTACGGTGCTGTATTTTTGCAATTAGTGCAAGCATTTTAAAACCCACTATTCCTGCATTTCTGACCCCTATTTTTTCTGTTTTAAACTCGTTAGCTTTTTTTCATTATTTATGAGAGTTAGTGTTACAGTTGCATCAACTTGCTTATATTTGTAAGATTTAAATACACCAGGGATTATTCGTGCCTCTCTCGGGTTAAAGAGAGACATATATATATATATATATATATATATATATATATACATATTTATTGATTATTCTTCATTTAATTAAACAATCTCTTTAAAGACTAATAGACCACCTTGCGAATTAACGATAAAACAGCGCATTTTACGCCATTCCGAAGGAATTTCGACCGGATTACAAGTTGGCATTGTTATTAAACTCCTATTGTAACATTAAGTCATATATATAAGCTAATTTCCAGCTATAAGTCGTTCATACGGAAGAAATGTCACATTTCGAAAACTACGAAAGTTCAGCTATCAATGAATTAAATTGTAGATTTTTTTCTCAAATGAGATTATCAACATCACCATTACGTCTAGTAACAGCTCAAACAAATTTATGGGAACGAAGCGAATTAAATAGTCAATGCTTTTCAAAAGTAGGGCCATAATTTTTCAGCCTTTAGGCGCGCACATTTTAAATATACAAAGTATCTGAGATTAACTCCATTAGCAAATCATATTTTCCTTCACGATTTGAACAACTAAGTCAACTTGAGGACAGTTTTGGAAGATGTTTGTCAACGAAAAAAAAGTAAACTATCTATTCTTAACTCCCATCATCCCAGTAAAATTCCTCAAGGAAACAATGAAATTATTTAAATGTACCAAAGACTTCTAATCAAGAAAAATAAAAATATTTGCATTAAATGTACAAGAGGGAAAATATTTTCCATAGGGAAGGAAAATGACAGCACTACTATGAGTAATAAACATCTTCACACTATATACCCCACATTTTGTTGCATATCGAACTAGAATTCATCTTACCTAATTTTGTTCAAATAAATATGATGGTATTATCTGTTAATAATTTTGGCACACATACATTTATTGACCTTTTTTTCAAATTAAAGTGTTGTAACAAAATTCACAACTTACTCCGCAAATTTCTTGCATAAAAGATATCGAAATCATCATCTTCTCAACTACGTCGGAACTTACTTGCATTTATAAGAGAGACTTCTATCAGTCAAAATGTCAAATGAAATTAAGGGAGGGTGTCACCAAAAAAGCCCACTTCCAATCTTCCTATTGTTTGGAAAAGATTTAGTTATCAGCGCGCTAAATTATGCACTAAATTGCCTTGTGCTCAGATAATATGATATTTGAATTTTGGAATCTGTAAACACTCTTCATTAGTTAAACAAATATTTGAATAAATATAGACAGAATATAGGACTAGTGAACGCATAGTAAAGCATTTTTCGTGCGAACTAATTTGGTGAGTTACAATGTTCTACTTTAAAGGAAGAAGAGATTTGAAGAAAATGTTGGGCATTTCTTTGAAGGTCATCAAAAAACTTGAATTAAAACATTGAGTTAACAAGAAATGGAAAACGACGTTTCATAAGGGTAAAAAGCTTGCAGAGAGATAAATTGAAGAAAATATTCATTCACATTTGTGTTATTCAAAATTTTCGATGCCAAACCCTTTTTAAGCCATAATTCCATTATCAACCAAGTGATTTGTCTCCGAAATTATTTTTTTTCACAATTAATTAAGTCTTTTCCACATTCATTTTGCTCCTCGATTTTCTTTTCTTGTTACATTTACCTGAAGCAATTATGGGGGACTACTTTGGCTAATTAGTGAATTTACAGCTTACACCATTTTCTTACGTGACTAATGACTGCTCTTTGTGCCTAACCCATACCCATCTTCTTAGAAATTGGAAGCTCATGGGAGAATATTTTTCAGTCCAACATTTGATCTAATGGGAAAACAGCGATCAAGGACCAAAATCCCAAATTAACCAAGACAGAGAAAAAATTATTTTAACAATGACCCTCAGAGTTTAACTTCCTGTTTTTAAAAGGTTAAAATCCACTCTTAATTACCTTATTGAAACTTAAGCCTTCAAGTGGAGGAGGGATAATTCAATCTCCAATCTCCACATCATGAAGTTCTTAAAGGTTTGAAATAAGGCGAATGTAGAAGCCTACTTTTTTTCACCAAAAGGAATCTAGCACTTACATAAAATGTGATCCTTTTAAAACAATATCATTAATTAGAGTTAGTGCTTTCATTGTATTTGTTGCGGTTGCCATAGTTAATAAAACTTTCATAACCCGTCTCAGATTGAGGACACAGAGTGTGTCCCAGAAAACACCCCCTCTATTGACAAGCGCTCTAACCCCTTAAAACTATGTGAAATGTACTCCCACATCGAACCAATTCATTAATCACAATTCAAAAAAATTTCACACTTTCTGGATGCGAATCGACTAGGGGGTTTATTGGATGGGCAAATGCTTAACCATCCCAACTTAACACTGTGGACACCTTAACTTTAATCGTAGATCGCCATACACTTGTATGTACTTTCAGGCGCCCTAACTACCTAGACTAAATAATCTAATCGGCATAATATAATAATAATAATAATATGTAGTTTTTAAATTAGGCATACGTAATTATCAATGGTGATGCATTATTGTAGGCTTACATGCGTGGACCTAGTAATAACAAACAAACATTGTATTGCATAAGTTCAACCTAAATGTTTCAAAACAAAATCCTGAATAGTTTGAATTTCAAGCAAAATCGAATGATACATCAGCATTTTTAATCTTACTTGCAGTTACTTAATTTTAAGCGGATTTGAAAGTTAGCAATGTGATTTATTGAAAACAGGGCTTTTTATAAGCCGCATTATAGACCATATGAAATGAAATATTCCTCAAATAAGTGCAACTAAAAAGTACTCATGCTCTGTTGTTTGAATAAATAATAGAAGACACGAATATACTTGAAATAAAACAAAGAATTCTAAACTATTTTGCATAACAAGTTCATTAATGAACTGAAGTGGTCAAATAGACCTACATCTACGTTTGGATAGTTAATCTTTTGCTCGATTAAATTATTCTTCTTTTTGGCGTCATTGTGTCGGTTTAAATATGTTGGCTTCAAATGTCATTACGTGGTTATTCCCAAATTAAATTAGTACCAAAAAAACTATGAACAGACACGATGAGGGCGTATACCAAGCACGTCTAGTACCCCTTCCGTCTGGGTTGGTGACCATTTTTCACATTCGTCTAGAATGTCGCAGAAACTTTAAACATAATAAATTGAATTCTAATCCCACCCGTTTTTAATCTGACACACAGCTACTGAATTATTTCCAGCCACAGTTTGGAATCAGATGGGGGAAAGTTCTAGAAAATGACCTAATTCCACGCGCTTCTCATCTTAGCAATCTTATCATACCACGGTAAATGGAACCATAATTTTGTTTCGTGTCAGTTATTGATAAGTTGCAGAAATAAATCATAAAAAATTTCCATTTGTAAAAGTTAATCCATGCTTAAAACTTTCACAAATCAATAATGCCACTCAGATTGACAATAACTATTCGAATATTATCTAAACACAATCGATAAATATTTTTGTATTAGTGTTGGCCCTTTTGAAATCGGCAGATATTTCACGCCTTCAATGAATGTTTAGGTAAAAGCGATTTAGTTTAAATCGTGGTAAATACTTTAACCAAATAAATGACACATTTCTCAAATGCCTAAATAGACAAATACAATAAAAGTAGGGCACACCGTTGGTTGATCTTTAGTTTTTTGTAACGAATCACGCAAATTACTCAGAAAATGTTACTAAAATATGTTGAATTGTTGTACGATTTGTGTAAATACTAGAATATTTGCAGTATTAATGTAATCTGTGCAGATACTAATTGAGCCATTGTTATGACTTACTGACTAATTAATATGGCTTATTAGAGCAAAATATGGCGCAATATAACCCAGACCTCCGTTAATGAAATGCAGATAACCCAGCCGTTCCTATTATGCTTACATATTAGAAAGAAACGAAAAAAAACAAATTTTTCAACTATTTTAATCTGCTGAAAGGAAACCTATACACGTGCCAAGTTTTAACACATGAACTAGTAGTTTGCAATGACACCTCCATATATCCATTAACTAACGCTGAAATTCCCCCTGGTACAAGATAGTTCCGTCTTTTACTCAAGCAAAAATATCACAAGAAAATATCATTTTTTTAGATTTCAATAAACTTTCCAAAAAACCCTATTGCGATTGGATTTAATCAGAAACACTATCTGATTATGATAATCAGAGTAAAAGCCAAATTAATGTCTAAATGTCGAATTATTCCTCTCAAATATGCTATCATTTGAGTAAATCCTTTATTAACCAACTGTCATACCTCAATTCGAGGTCAGCCAGCAAAAAACTTCCTTACGGAAATTGGATGTTATATCCAATGCTGAATATCAGATAGCCTTTCAAATACAAGTCATATTTGGAGTTTGAACAAATTCGATTTGCCTTTGAATTCGACCCACTCAAGGTAAAATGGTCAATGCATAAAGTATAACTCTAACTATACCAAATATTTTCAAATCCATAAATCAGTGACAATTTGAAATAAAGGATCCTTATCGACTCACCTTTTATCCTTCCAATGATCGATTTTTTTAAATTCAAAATTTATCTAATCTGATCTTGTTGCTACGTTCTAAAATAACGGGTAGTCTATCGACAACGGAAATACTTGTATCAATTTGCAGACAAGCCTTCAATTCACCCAGATGAATTTTGCCAAAATTTTCTGCACTATTATTCCGACCCAGGCGTCGTTTTATTATTTACTTTCATTCTTTTTTCGCTTAAGGGGAGATTTAGTTTGCTTCGAATTTCTTCTAGTTTGAAGAACATAAATTAGCTATGAGAGGTTTAAAAGATCCTACCGGGTGTTGATCGCACTATCATCATACTCATACTCGCAAATAACCCCCAGTGGAAGATTGAGGTTTCACTACGCCGCTTATGACAAAACTCCTCAAATTTATCAGCAGCTAGTCACAATTTTGATCGCAACGTCAGATATCGCCAACTCGCTCAATCACAGCTCATACAGAGAAAGCGAGAGAGAGATTGCGCGCGAATGATTCAGCAAATCGACTGATTTAATTACTTCAGTAGAGAGAAAATTACTTTTAAAATTGCGAAATGGCTATTCTTACTTTGTATTAAATAAAATTAATTTTCATCTTTTTATCTAGGTTCCTATACTAGGTAGCAAATAAATCTTGTGCTATGATTAGCAAAAGAAGTGTTGATAATTTGGCTTAATTCACTAACCAAAATGACTCTCGAAGACTGAAAATCTTTCAATTATTGTCAGTTATTTTAGTGAGTGACTCAATTAAGATTAACTGTGTCATTCCTAACCTGTATATACACATTTTTTTTATTTAAATATTCCAAATTATTTCAACCAAGATTTCAATGAGCTTGCAGTGAATGAACGGAGGTTCGAAATGATTGAAATATTGAACGATTGCAGGAATAATCAAAAGTTTTACCTAGTTGAATTCTGAATGCAAAGCATGAAATGGGAGAAGCTAACAAAGTTGTAATTGAAATGATACATTTGTCATGCTTGTATCTTTAATCAGGTTTCAATCCTGTAGACCTGAAGCATAACGTTACAATCTTTTATATAAATCAGTTAGGCTGTATTTATTTCAAACTCATTTCTCCATCTGCAAACTATTTAAAAACAAAATTTATACAATGGAGTATTTAATCTGTGACGAAAATTCCTCTATTTGCTATTTCACTTCAACTTTACGAGATTTCAAGAAGTATAATGAAAAGGTAACTGCGAAACAAATCTTTTAATTTATGTAGGAAATGGTTTTTGGGTAAAATATCGCATACGAAGACAGAGATGTATTCCAAAAATAGCCTGAAGTCTCCTAAGCACCTTCCTTTCCGAGATGGATTCGTAATTATTTGATAATGCGTTATTTTCACAGCAGAGAAGTAGGTGATCTCCAAACTCCAATGAATTCCAATAGACTTGCTCCCTGATCATTCCATCTATCCATCCTACCTAACTTAAATAAAATTTTCTTGTTCTAAAAGTTCCATTTAAATTCGGTAGAGTTATTTGCCCGGAAATCCGCCTTTAACGGAAGTGAAATCCTTCATTCCTACCGCGTGTCTTTATTCAGAACAGATTGAGCAGAAAATTAACCTATTTAAATAATTATTTAACCGCATTATGAGTAGAACTTTATAATCTTTAGCATTGTCATTAATCAAATAAATTTTATTGATTATCAAATATCGCATTATTACAAATTTCATATTCTTTCTACAAGCATTCAAGTTCCATCTGCAGTTTATTTAAAATTTTGTCAATTTAATGATATAAAATCGACGTAGTCACCAGACTTCAAAAATCATGAGTCGACCATTTTTCTTCGTTTTCTTACCTCATCACAAAATTCAAAATTATTTCTACAATAATGCGCATTCAAAACAAAACATTTTGTTGCGACATTGCATTATTCCAGCAACAGCGGAGAAATTTCATTTTCCGCGCACAGAATTATGACGATTAAAACAAGTTTATTGCCAATATATCTCTGTAAATTGAACAAATTAGACAATAGGCAGGTCTAAATGGACTCTGAGTGTATATATGATACCGTAGCATATTAGCTAATAAAGGAATGTTTCCCGATTCTCAGAAAATAAAAAGAACCAAAGCCAATGTAAAAGACTCTGCATTTAATGAAACTTTAAGCAAAATTCATAGGAATTGAAAGTTTTCATCACATATTCCACACCTAATATTCCGTTAGGTGAAATCAATAAATTGTATGACTGTTCTCTTTACCTAATTCAGGAATTTAATTAAATATTTGTATTCATTAAAGCATTATGTGTTAGCTTTCCTTAAATGAGAAATTGGAAATTCAGTTTCGAATTTATGAGGCTTCAGTGTTTATCATGCAGTTGGTAAAGCGATTTAAGGAAATTTTATCATAAGTCAAAGGTATTGAAAGCACTTTGGATATTTTAATTCATCAGTATGATATGTAAATATCGTCCCGACTATTTTAACCTTAAAGCCAATGTGACTAAAAGTAAAGACAAATGACAACTACACTGAAACCCAAACAAATTCGACTTTGGGAATTAATGTCAAGATGATAAAGAAGCATTTGGGATTCGGTCTTCTAGATTGAAGGCTTACAGTGGAATGACTTTCCTCTTATAACTTCTAAGAAGTTTTTTTTAATAAAAAGAAAGAAATAGCTCCACTTCAAAAGAAGTATTATGGAGTGAAACACATTTTTCTACCTCGGCTAGTAAATAATTGAAAATTTTTATCGCCTTAGTGAGGATTAAACTTGTAATGGTTATATCTATGCATATATATATATAATTGTGCTCTATCGGTGAACTTATTTTCCAAATTGGTAATAGAATAGGTTAAGTTTCAACCTAGATTTCACTCATAAAAAGAATACAAAAACTCTGCAAATTCAAATCAAGCAAGCCTCAGAACTGAGGACGAGGACAGAGCTACGGAAGTATTATTTATTCATGGGACGATCACCAAAGCTTAGCGCGGAACTACGTGCCTCGGATAGTAATAACGCTCCAACTTGAAGTTATGCTGTGTAAAGAAGAGGAAGTCAGTCATCTCGAGACCAAACTAAGAATTCTTCCATTCCAAGACAGGGACATAGTCATTTTACTCAAATGCAGGAACAAAGAGACAAAAATTCTTTTGCAAATGCAATTATCCACCTCCTGCTATTACCCTTGCAGGGTGAAGAGAACATGTGGGAAAAAATGTTTGAATGAATCCACCATTTGGCTCTACTTTTAGCATAAAACATGGTGGTCTCCTTCGAAGCAGCTTTGACAACAGCCTCGTTTATTTTAAGAGTAAAAGCAAAGTAAACCCTGCTAGGGAACATATATTCCAATTAAAGTTCGATTGGAAATGATATGAGTAGAAAATGGTGAATTGAAATTTGTGTGGCTATCGTAAAAGTGGGCTTTAGCAAACAATGGTTTAATTGGTATTAACTCAATTTGTGGATATATATATTGGTAGATATGATTGGGGTGGACTTACCGACATACTGCCGAACACCAATTATTGCGATAAAAATCACCATTAGACCTCCTGTGTATTGGTAATTGAGTTGATCAATAAAATCCACACCATCGCCACCATACTGCGTTTGGAATAATTTCCCTGCTCTAAGTACCGATTCAGGATTCATGTCAGTTCGTCTGGTACTGCTTCACGGGAGCCAAAGTGTCACCCGTTTGCCTGTTTCGGCGCTGTTTTACCTTTTAAATGTAGTATTTACTTGACTTGTAAAGAGAAAGAAGTGTAAGGATAGAAGACGTGGTGTTCGGCAGTTGTTTGTGTGTCAGTAATACTGATAATAATCCCATGGGCTGATATGGAAATGGGCTTAAGCCCTGTTTTCTCGAGTCGTTAGCATCCAGTGCCAGGCAGTCAGCATAAGGTCAAAGTTGTTAATTGGGAATGAGATGGAGATCGGTGACGAGAGTGGTGGTTATGCACAAGTAGAAATGGCAAATACAGGCTCTCTTGCCTTAGTAGGATAGTAGTGGAGGTAATCGTGGCTATGGGATGGCTGTGGCCATTATAGACTTGCTGCAATTGCGTGTTCTTCGTCCATTTGTGCGCGCTGTGCGTGTATAGGCGCGCAGCCACTCATGGCCTAGCGACCTACTTGATCCCCTGGTATCACATACGTACGGCCGTAACTCCACTTACGCTAGCGTTCATTAGTGCGAGGGTGGAGGCACGCATCCTGCAACGCAAAAGGGAATTTAGGGATACAGACAGGTAGAGTGGCCTGTCCGTTCCACGTTATAGTTGTGAAAATGCCACTGTATTTGAAACGGCGTGGCTATTTCTGGGAAAACTTTTGCTTCTCAGCTGTCGGAGACGAAACCGAGTGAACGCGTAAATACGCATCATTTGTGAGTTGTGAGCATCCTCCCTCTTCCCCCCTCCCCCCACCCAAACACCTCCCACCCCTTTCTGTTGTTCCTGTTCCCTTTAAAAATTCAACCTCCGTCCCAATCTCTTCCTCCACCTCTATTCCTTGATGTGTCAACTCTTACGAATTCCGAGACCTGCCATTTATAGGCACTACATTGTTTCGTATGTGCAAATGGTCTTTCACTTTTCTTGGTCAAATTAAGCTGTCTCAAGAGGAAGAAGTAATTCGTAGTCCGAAAGTCATTTAAGCCAAATTTTCGAAATGCCGGTCTTTCAAACAGATGGAGTCGATCATATTCTGTTAATTGAATTAACTTGTTACTATTCATTCAAACTTCGATGAACTAATTTCCTTCTGAGTAACCAGAGTTAAAATTTTTAGAAACTTTAAGAAGACAAATGGGGTATGCTCTTTAAATGTCTGTTAAATGCATTTTTGGATATTTCGTTGAAAAAAATGCCAATTATATACCAGTAATAATGTCGAATAAGTAGCATTCAATTTGAACTATGAGGTAAACTTTTGGGTTTTACTACGGATGATTTGACAAGCTTCAATATTAATCAAATTAAATCCAGTTATTTACGGGTGATAGTTAGTATACCTGTTTATAAATTAACAACAATGCTTATTTTAAAGGGAACAAATCTTACAGATCAATGCTTAGGTAAATTTATTTATCAATTGCTTATCTACTTGACATTTGCCACAAACTCCCATTTTTTTATAATTGCAAGAAATCTAGCATTGCTCAGGGAAGAGGAAAAGGGCAATAAACTTTACTAGAAAGCAATCTCCAATCATATCATTATATTCTGCCATAAAAATGTCATATTTTCAATTCATAATTGCCATTTATAATTTGGTTAAGTACGATTGAGGCAATCTACGTTTGACGACATTGGTGACTCTACATAAATAGATGTGTACAATAGATAGGTCTTGCTGATAGGTATTGGACAAGTCAATGAGAACTATTTACTAATTCGATATTTTTCTGCAAATCAAGTGATTTAATTCAAATCTCTTAAGACTACTTAAACACTACAAGCTCTCTTCACAACAATGCCACTCAAATGTGGAATGGAATTTATGGAGTTTATTTTCCAATCAAGGTAAGCATAATCTTGCAGAAACCGTGTCCACATCTCTCATTTCCTACATCTCGGGGTCTTGAAAAGTCTGCTTTAAAAGGCCAAATGGTGAAATGGATCAGAATAATGACAAACGAATGACCGTAAACACTTCCTCTATTTGGTAACTGGAAGCAAATTTAGAAATGCATTAATTTTAAACCAAATAACAAATTTAGATCTTTCAGCCATTGCGGAGTGGGATGTTTACGTAGCACATCATTTAAAATTGATATGAATTAATGGTTTTTTTTCAAGGAAGCAATTAACCAATGCTTTGAATGGCCAAATACGTTAAAATATTCACACCAAAAAATCAATACTACGAATTGCGGCCTAGATTTAACTAATGGTAAGCCACTAATCTAGAATAAAATGACTTGGTGTAATTTCACGAATGAAAGTGTACTGTATAGTGGATATAATTATATATCAGCATTTATTTATACCAAATAGCAGGATTTATGATAGTTATCATTATCCATTTAGTTGACTTCGGACTTCAGGGAGGGGTGGAACAGAAGAGTGATTCATAAGTGTAGAAGTGACAGACACACAGGTAGGGAAAAGGGTAAGGTGAGGTGAGTATTGTGAAAGTGGTGGAATATGACGTACAGTGGGGTGATGGTAGTTTGAAGTCATAAGTTAACTGCCAGCTTATCGACTCTTTGCCGGATGAGTATTTGTTGCTCAGGGTGTACCATGTTGAGGTAAGTCTATTGCACACCTCATATATCAACATTTGTATCATCATTTTAATTATAGCCTTTGTCATTTGTATACTATATAGTAGGGCTGTAATAGGGCTCCAGGATAATTTTACTGAACAATTAGACACGATCTTTTATTCGTTTACTACTTTTGAGCATTTATAAGAAATACGGATGGACATAGCGTCAAATTTTGTGGCAGTATTAAACGTTTTAAATCAAATTCGTATTGCCTTGAGTAAACTCTAGCGATCAACATTATGTCAAGTCCAATTAATTTGCAAATATCTAAACTATCGGTAGACCTAAGACGACTATTAAACTGAGCAATTTGCCCATAAGCTCAGAAAGCCATTAAATAAGTCGGAGACATTCCCTGGATTTTACATTTTTGAGAGAAACATATGCAGTACCAAAAAATTAGCACCTTTTCGTTGAATGCTGTAGAAAGATTCAACTTTTAAAAGTCGCTTTCCTCCTTTTTTCAGATAATATTTCTCTGTTTAATGTTAGATTGTCGTATTGCTTCCAGTGCTTAGATGCTTTCCAAGGAAGATGAATGCCAGTCTTTGATTTGCCGAGTAGAACAAGATAATCTAATCAGCAAAACTCTCCTTTAAGGTTTCAAATTATTAATTTAATTGACATAACTATTAGCCTTCTAGTCATAATAATACTCTAATCACTCAAGAATCAAGGAAATCTTACAAGTAATAAAATGTCAATTTTCTTGACAAATCTATCTCCTCAGAAGACTTAATTTGACGTTAAATGCTTGAGGGTGTGTCATATGGGATGTAATTCAAATTGAGTTAGCAGAATAAGACGGCAAAGCGTCTATTTATCTCACAACAGCTAATTAACTATACACAATTGTCAATGAAGTTTCCCTATATTTGTCATCCATTTTGTTATCATTACATTGCTCTGAAGTCACCTTCCTTCCAAATTCATTGAATAACCTTGAACCTGGAATAATTAGGGATACCAAAGAGGTCATTTAATTGCTGGGCAACAAGGAGATGAACGATCGCAAGGCCGTTGCATTTGTGAAAGCTTTTAACATTTGGATATGAAGACATTTTTTAGGCAACAGTGTTGTCACTATTCGTGCATATTAAAAATGATTGTCAAAGCTGCCTTGGAATTTAATTTTGTCAAGTTATCTACATTTAAATATGATGGCACTTATCCCTTTTTTATATAATGGGAGAATTCGACGTTAAGCCGTAATAGGAATCACGAGTTTACTCTAGCGTGCACCGGAAGTGTAATTACAAATCATTTCTATGTCATTACTTTGACAATTCACGGCATAACGACAGATTCACTAGCTAATCTATCAAAGTTTGCCACATGCAATGGTTACTCATTGTTCACTGGTCAATCACTATGGGGGCCATTGTACAAATAGGCACACATAACTCAGTCAATAAATACCTGTTTACCGGAAGACCCTGGTCTTTTTGGGCTTTTTTAAGACTTTTCAACATTTTTGCCAAGCGGTTTTCATTACCTATAATCCTTTTTTATTAAAATAAATGAATATGAATTGTCAGAATTCTCGCGTACGTTCACAGTTACCCGTGTATAAATTTTTCATGTTCAAACTTTAAATAAAATGACTAATTGGATTGATGGACTCATTCACTTATATTCAACCATTATTTACGTTGGAATCAATCTTAATTTATTCCTACGTAGATTCATGGCACGTAAGGAGCCTTCTAGAGTGTATCCTTTAATCGAAATTTCACTTTAGAATTGTGTTCAGAAAATTCTCCCCAGTCCTCTTTCATCAAATCCTCACTGGAAACATCGAACGTTAATAAGAAATTGAGAGTTAAGTGAGGCAAAGTCCCCTCATCCCCAACCCCCCCCCCCCCACCGCTCCTCCCAGATATTCATTGATTTGACTAGACCATCATAACTGTGAATCTTAGAACACATCAAATATGACTTCTGGAAAACGTAACCGCAACTTCCAAAGGATCTGGACTAGAATGTCCTTTTGAAATGCATTGTATATATATATATATATATATATATATATATAACAAATTCACGTAATTACCCCAAAGTTAATCAATATTAGAAGTTAACTTAGCATTAATAATATTGTATGATAAATCCTGGCAAATAACATCTAGATAACAATTAATTTCTATTACGTCCATTTATAGTAAAAGTTAATTTTTTTATTAAAATTGCTAATATAGCACAAATCACTAAACTCAGATTTAGACCTAGTTCAAGAGAAATAGTTCTCTCTGTACTTTTCCATCCCTAACTTGTCAAACTGTCAAATTGTATACTGAGCTCACGTGAACGTCCCCATTCGAACACAATTCAAATGGATGTCTTCTTTTATCGTAAGATGGCAAAAGAACTCTGTGAA